ATCTCTGCTCTAAATTTAATACTACAAACAATGCCGTTTTCTAAAATAGAATTATTGTTCTGTGATAGAATGCAAAAAGTTCAAACGTGAATTTAATAGGTCTTAATAGTGTGGGGTTTTACCTATTATATTATATGAACTTTTATATTTATAATTTTGTTTATATTATTAGCATATATAATCCTATATTAGGCCCCTCCCCTTGTGCCCTGGCAACTTATATATTTCAAAATGCTAAAAGGAGGGAGTGTATTTGGGGGGTTGTACCTGTGTGTTATGTGCACAAACAGATAAAGATTATTAATGACAGCATGCAGTGTAGCCAGGGTCGAATGGTTGGGTGGAGGGGTGAGCATCGAGTGGCAAAGCCACGAATCACCTAGGGGGAACACTTCTAGGCATCGGAAACGTCATTTCCCACATTCTGATACAAGTTTTTAAAAGTAATTGGAAGGTCATAAATCACAAAATTATGTTATTATTACATTGGAACAAGGCACAATACACAGTTATGAGATGTATTGATTATATTCATTATCAACTAAACATTTCATAAAATTTTTCACCTGTTGTCATCATCAAGGATTTGCTAGCTAAATTTAAACTAAATCCATTTTTTCTGGGAGCAATATTTGCAAATGTTTGTACAAGGTTTTCTAGATTTAATAAATTATACATTACTATCAATTGGATTTGACTTGTTGCTTACCTCATCTGCCCCAATACCGTAAACCTCCGACTATAAGCCCTGGGCTTATATTCTTTCATAAGCGATTTTTGATGGGCTTGTGTAAGGGGGGCTTTTATCCGGGGGGGGGCTTATACATGGACGATCTTTTGTGTTAGTGTAATAGTGATAAACAAGTATAGTAATATTTAGTGATAAACAAGTGTTAAGCATAGTAATAATAGTGATTAATAGTGGTAATAGTGATAAACAATATACAGGGTGTATCAAAAAAAACTGAACAGATTTGAAATCGCTCTCAATTTCGCAAAACACCTATTTGTATCCCGTTTTTTATATATATAGCTTCTTTGGGTACTTATAATGTAGAATAATGAAAAAAAATTCTCAAACTCAAATTTGGTGAACCAGGGGGGGGGGTGTCTTTTCCAACAAACTAAAAATGGCTCGCGCACAAAATTTAAAAGCTTTAATCATATTTTGAGTTAATAGATGGAAACATTGTTTGGTTTTTAATTACTGTACAAAATTTCAGACAATTTGGTTTAGTTTCAGCCGTTTAACTATTCATTTTATTCTAAAAAATCAGCCTTTCGCATGCTTAATTAATGCATTTACCTAATTTGCATATTGCTAACATATGCAAATTAGGCAAATGCATTAATTAAGCATGCAAATAGCTGATTTTTAGGAAAAATGTAAGTTTGCGTGAATAGTTAAACGGCTTAAACTAAACCAAATTGTCTGAAATTTTGTACAGTAATTAAAAATCCGACAAATGTTCCATCTATTAACTCAAAATATGATTACAGCTTTTAAATTTTGTGCGCAAGCCATTTTTATTTTGTTGGAAAAGACACACCCCCCTGGTTCACAATATTTGAGTTCAAGAAATTTTTTTCATTATTCTACATTCTATAAGTACCCAAAGAAGCTATATCTATAAAAAACCGGATACAAATCGGTGTTTTGCGAAATTGAGAGCAATTTCAAATCTGTTCAGTTTTTTTTGATACACCCTGTATAGTGATAAACAATTGGGCTTATATTTGGGTTGGCTTATATTCGGGTGGGCTTATATTTGGAATGAGGTGAGCGTTAGTACATGTGGTGGGCTTATACACAGGTGGGCTTATATTCGGGGGGGGGGGGCTTATAGTCGGAGGTTTACGGTATCTACATATCTCGCCAGATTTGTATTTTTCATGAGAACAGTTTTGAAGACAATTGAGGAGTTAGAATTTTGGTTAGAAATTATTAGGGTTGAGGTTAGAGTAAGGGCTATCAACTTTTATCCCCAACCCTAACTCGACTGCTATATTCTAGTGCATAATACATGGGTATAACCAGACCTGTCAAGTCTGGCAGATATAGCTAGGAATTAGGGATGAGCCGATAAGGAAAATTGCCGATTACTGATGCTGATTATTTGTAAGCCGATTATCGTAAGTACTCCAGCAGATTAATCGGTACCTGCCGATTATTTTCAAAAGCAAGCGAAAAATCACAAGATGACCAACAATGACGTTGTAAATGCGTTTTTATTGTTTAATACAATACACTATACAGTGTACAATTAAAAACAGCTTCAATCTTGCATGTCAATAATCAAAGTTCAGTGGAAATGTTCCCAGCTTCACTTCGCTTGAGACAAAAGACACATATTTTGCAACAAAATGTGAAAATATGTTCGCTTGTATTCAGTATTTTAGCATGTGCTTGGCAGCTGCAGAAAAAGTCTTATGGCCGATTATCAGGCAATAATCGGCCGATTACCGATTATTTAAAAAACGGCCGATTAATCAGCTTTGCCGATTATTTACCGATTAATCGGCTCATCCCTACTAGGAATGTGTGTGATCAGAGCTTGGAGCATTACTGCCATAATTGATTGCAAAATGTGTTTCTCTAATGGGTGAAGGCTATTTCAGATACGGTAGAGCACCACTGAGCACCTAGTCCCCAGGCCTTTACCGGCGCGACCGCGAAATTCAATATGGCGCCAAGCTAAGGAGTGGAGTTTAAATGGAGTTTATATTCTATATTTTCTATTGTTGTTTTTTGGTCTTTTTATTCTTTTTGGTTGGTAGAACTTATATTCTGAAATGCCAGGTATCTTATTCTTTATCTGATTAATCTGAAAAAAGATTTTATGACAGAATTTTTCTCAAACATAGTTAAAGTTATAATGTATTAAAGTCTTATCTGTACGGATATACTGAGTGAGTGATGGTTGTGACTGGGTTGTTCATTTAACAATGAGATCAATTTAGACTATTTTACTCAAGCTGGCAAGCTACGGTTAAATAATTACTTGGCTTGATGAAGATGATATTATTTAAGCAGGATAATACATGCCAATGTGGTCACAGCTAGTGCATTAATTGACAGCATTCTACTAGACTGAGTATTAGCAGTTTTAAAAAGTTAAACTGCCAGACGTATGATATTTTATCATATAATTGATATAAATTATAAAAAATAAAGTGCTATAACTGAATAGTGGAACAATATTGCTTGCATTTTCACCACCACACTCACAATTACCTTATGAATGTGAGCATGCCATGTTGCAGTGAAAAAATATTATGATTCTGGCAAACATACCAATTAACATGGGCAAATTTGTTTAAACAACGTACACTGCAACAAATCATGATACAGACAAGCACATCCTGTATATGAGGCTTGCTAAGATGTGTAACAAACATTATTCAACATCACACAATTTAGTTACTGTCACAAAAACACACATAATAGAGTAAAACCTTATATGAATATCATATCTGTAAAGAATTCAGATATTCAAGTACTTCAACAAGACATAAAAGAACACATAGTGGAGGCAAACTTTATGATCAATCTCATGTTTGTCATTAACAGTAGGGTGTAATGGACTAAGGGGTGGACCATTAGAAAAGTGATGGGGGGGGGGGAGGGAAGCAAAAATAAAAATTGAACAGAAAAAAAAACTTGTGCACCAAAAGTTTGAAAAAAAAAATTCGTGCAGAGACTTTTCAATAGGGAAAATTATAAGTTGAGTTCATGTTGTTATAAGTTTACTATCAGGGGGAGGGGCAGAGGAGGCAATTTGCCCCGAGCCCCCAGTGTAAGGGTGGCCCCCAAATTTGAAAAATAAAAAAAATAATTTGGAACGCTTTTTATATAAGTAATGGTGTGAGAAAAAATTTCCTAAACCTAAATCTTGCAGATATTGGTGCAAAAAAAAGCAGGGGCGGATCAATGCTCATCTGACAGGAGGGGTGCAGATTTCCCTGGGGGGGTGCATTGGTGCGCTGCCGCTACTTGTATATATTTTAGACATATCGCCATAACCCCTGTTTTGTGACCCCTCCCATGTGATCAACTGATCAAAATGCTTTGCTATTACTTTAGTAACTTGTTTAATTAATACGCACAGTATATTTGCAAAGTATTATTATTCTTTATTTAATAATTATTAATTAATAGTAGTATAAATTAAGTTATTTAATATAGTTGTATAGCCTTTCAGTAGCTTCCTTAGAATATTTCAAATTCGTGAAAATCGTATAGTATTATAGTAACACTAACAAACTAACAAAGTTTTAATAAATAAATGAAATAATGAATAGTTTTTCAAGTTCTCAATTTAGTAATAAGTACATTATACATTTTATGCAGTTAGACTAGTTAGTTAAGGTTACAGAACACCTTTGAGTGTTAATTTTGCCTAAACTTTTTTTACAGGTTTCCATGATAGCATTAGACTAGTTCTACTACCTGACGAAGTTTGAACGAAAAATGTTGAAAAATCGCAGAGTTATTTAATAAAATACATTTCGCTGCAATAAGAAAAACATTGAAAATGTAATATTCAAATTCAATTTTCTCCCGAAGAATTTTGCGGGTTTCAGCCAATGTTTCTCAAATTGTCACAGGACAAACCTAAAGTCGTCAGTTTCAAAATTGTGTTCGGCTTTGTTCTAATTTTGGATATTTTAATAATAAAGAGCAATTCACAACTGAACAATTCAGAAATATATTGCAGTCGTCAAAGAAATCGCCATATCAGCGGAATGACGAAATAAACAAAAATTTCCGAACACAATTTTTTAGAACAACTATTTTACTGTTTAAAAATTATATTTTCATAAATATAACTTAAAACCAGCAGGAGCACAACTTGAAAGCGTAATGGTACTGCGATTTAAGATTTTCCTGAATAATTCTTACATTATTTTACTGTTTGTTAATTTTATAACTTTACCATATTTTGCATGTGCTGGCAAACATTTGGTGAAAATTTGATGAAAATCGGACTGATTTTGAGCGCGCAGTAGCGATTCTCCGCAAACGCCAAAAAAGGTGTCATATATTAAACCTTAATGACTTTAGCCCACCTATTGCTCATGTTTCCCCCATGCTGTTACGACTTCGTCCAAATCCAGCAAATCAACAACATCTCTGTTTAACGAAATGCATAAAAGATCACTTAATCTTTCTGGACGCATGGTTGATCGCAGCTTCGTGCAGATACGATTCATGCCGGAAAATGCTCTTTCCACTGAAGCGGTTGATGTCGAGATGGTGTTCTTAACTGCAATTAAAGAGGTCGAGTTTGGAAGCCTCTTTGGATTTCAACTTCAGCTCTTTCGATTTCTAGTTCGAGGATAGATATATCAATCATTGAGACCGTTGAAAGTATTCAGTAGCGCATCTAGCTCACAGCAAGTAGGTATCTGAACCTGCATTAAGAGCATTGATAGCATTAAGGATGTCTTTGTTCTTAGAGTCAAATCTGACATTAAACTCGTCGTTGAGTTTCTTCTTCTGCTCTACGTTGAGTTCTCCAATAAATTATTTTATCTGATGACCCTGATCATCGGGAGTCGTAAGTCGTAACTGTTGTAGCTCTAGTGTTGTGGATAGGCATTGTGTCGCAGAGAGCTAAGTAAGGGGTTTCCAGTCTTTCTTGAAATTTCTTTCGACTCAATTAATATGTCCTCGTCTTTGATGTTGTTAATTGAATCCAGAGTTCGAGTCAGCTCGTATTGAATGTCCGTCTTGAATGAACGTTTTTTATTAAATTTTTATTATTTTTTTAAACCATCTATATCTATTTATCTGATATTCGGACCTCTGCCTTCCATTTCTCGTAGCAATTTTTATGAACTTCTGATTTCTGGTGTTTCATAAAACAACAGAAAGTCGAAAGACGAAGCACAAAGTTTTCATATTTTGTTGTCGCTTTCCCTCCGGTTTTCTTTCTTTATTTGATATTTTCTACATGCCTAATACACTTTTAAAAGCTGGTCAGAACCTCAACAACGATCTGGAAATTGACTTTGTTCGTCTTCTGCCACTGTTCTCCGGCGGTTTCGGTTCAGCCGTTTCACACGCCAAAATTAGACTTGCGCTCGTAGCTTAGATTATACTTAGCCTTTTCACTGAATTTTTAGGCTTAGTCTCTGAGGCTTAGTATTCTACCTTGTTTTTTTCACCAAAGCAGTTTAGTTTAGTCGTAGCTTTTTATCTGGTCTTTTTACTGATTGAATATGCGTTTGGATATTTAATCTTTAGACGTTTTTACGTAGTATATCTAGTTTTATAAATACTTGTCTTAGTATAATATATGATATAATTTCATTTGTTGAAGTTATCAGTAAGTTGTACTCTTACTGCTAAATGTATAAGTTTCTTAAATAAAGGCTATAATAATAATAACCTACAGTATGCATGCCATTTTCGAATTTTTCTGAGGGGGGTGCTAGAAAATTTTGGGGGGTGCGCACCCCCCTGCACCCCCCCAGAAAATCCGCCCCTGAAAAAAAGGGTTTTAAGCGTGTTTTAACAAGAATTTGTCAGGGAAAATTTCTTTTGAACCTAATTAACTTAATTGATGTTAGTTAGTTTTTTCAAAAAAAATTTTGAAAAAATAATTGTACAGGTTGGAATATTATGTCCTACACCCCCCACCCCCATCACTTTTCTAATGGTCTGTCCCTAAGCCATCCCCTTTAATGTGTTTCTTTAGTTGGGAGAGGAGTTCTGAGGCCCTTCATAATTTTTGAAGATTACATTACATAATACAATATTAATTTTACTCATTGCAAACAGTAAGCTACAAATGAGCCTTGATTCCATAGAATGCAAAGTATTTA